TTTAGAAACTACATTAAATTTTAGTCTGACGTTACATAGTAATACTGATGATTCAACATTTTGGCGCATGAGGACACTTGCACTTGCACACACACGCACCACTCGCACCCTTGTTTTTGTTTAGTTTTTCTCTTATCTCTGTCATTAACGTATAATTAGTAGCCTTAAAAAGATGAGATTCATATGCTAATTCTATAATTATTTATATTGAATCCAACTGTTTATATTCACATATAATTGTAATATATATCATTTGAGTATCATGGTCCCCTCTTCTTGTTACTTTGCCAATATTTCACAACTCATTTTTATCTTAGCTCGGTTGACCGTCTGCTCAAGCTTTTGCTTATAACGGCGACCTTCTGCTTTCTTTCTTTATACACGCAATGGCCCAACGTATAAATTTACTCTTACTTATGTATTATACATTTGTTTCTATATTTTGTATATTGTTTGCATACCTTATGTTTTATATAATTATCCATATTTGTTGTATAACTGATTGCAGAAAATAAAGTCTTTGAAATGAAATAATTTTTCGAATTCTCATTTGCCAAGGGAGTTCTGTTATATTGTTTATAGGAAGGGCTCACATTCCGATAAAAACAAGCTATTTTTGTTAGTTAATGCCGATGGCTGTTTTGCGTGGTTGCAGCTTTGTCTGTACAATCTATTCATCTACCAGGAATTAGGATTGCTGTATATAAAGGAACGTCTCAGAAAGTGGGTCATGCCGAACGTACCCAATTCCAAAAGTTGAAAACCCAAACAAACAAAGGAAAAGATGTCATCGGGGTAACTCCTGACACCAGTGAGAGCACGAGTTTTAAATTACTTCTTTCGTGATGAAAAAGGTTATATTGATTTCGATTTTGATATCAACGGCAATAGCATGTACATTCCTTTGCCGGTGTTTGTCTGTACAATCTATGTAGTGGCTTAATTCTGAAATTTACTGTATTTGAGTCGCCAGTCAAATGAAACAAATGTGAAACGTGGATAACTTCTTCAGCCTAGAATTATCAAATCGAAAATTTGTACCATTTTACACTGTCTCCCTATTACTCCCTACATTCTACTTCTTTTTGTTTACTTCTGTTCCAGTTATATTTTACTTCGTTAACTGCCCTTCCCACCTGTTGAAGTCTCTGTAATCCAGCAGTAATTACGTCTAGGAAAATAGTGGTATGGGGGAGTATTTTCTATCCGAACTATTTAAAATCACTGTTTCCTTCTAACACTTGAGCTGCATGCTGTTAGAAGGAGACTTTGGACACACCCATGAACAAACATGTAACATATTATGAGATTTCCTTTCATCAAGCCTTATAAACCATTTTGAGAAACTCTTAACGTTAAATCAAAATTAAGATTCGTAAACAGGAAGTGCCGACGATGATAACAAAATACGTAAATCATGTAAATGGAGTGGTCGAATTACACTGTAATTGTAAATTAGTGTCACGAATCTCAACTGTTGTTAATCATAAACCTATTCGTATGTAAATGAATGTGCGCATGGGCATTCGATTAGATGGTTAATGGAAAATCCCATACACCACCATCATGGGTAAATATCAGTGGTTTTTCCTTAATATTTTGTTGCTTTGAATAATCCTGTGTTTGATGAGGTGAAGAAGATAAGAAGCCGAACATGTAAAACTCTCTCGTTGTAATAATATGCACTATTCAAGTTGTAGTCGACAAGATAACAATAATACCATATATACTGTGACCCTTAAAAAGAAGCTGAGAATTATGGTAAAGTGTCTAAAAACAATTGAAATGAACAGCTACGTTCAAAAAGTAGATCAAGGGCTGAAAACCAATAAGCAAGCATTTATCTTGACTTCATTATGTTCCGAATCGTGTCACTTCGCATCGTTCTGATGCTCAGACACAATGAGAGAGTGATAACATGCCAGAAGGAACCGTTTTGTTATCGAAGGAATAAGTACAGAAGACACATGTAATATGATGAGATTACCCGAGGCAACTAGGGTTAAAGTTACAGTCTGGCCTTACATGAAGTAAAGATATTTTCCAACATGATTGGTTTCCTTTGTTTCTTTTCTTTTTTTATCAGTGAATGTTACACTCTGTACTAATATTCTGCGAGCACAGTATTTTGTTGAGTTTAATTACTTTTGAGCGTGCATAAGAAAAAAGAAAGAAAGTGAAATATTTCAGGATAAGGTGTCTGTATTATATTTGATTAAATCTTCATTTTGAGATTCGACTATTCTACTTTTCAGTAATGAACATATAATGCTTGAAATTCAGGGTTTACAAGCTACAATAATATTGTGTAATTTGGCTGTAAAATTGTTAATGAGATCAAATGAACAATGTTTGTTGATAAACCGTCTAGTTGGTTTAATTGAATATATGGTAAGGCTTTTATTATCCTAGCCATGATTCATTTTGACCTTGGGATTTTGCTGCTTTGGTACGGGGGTGTTGATCAGCTTCGATTTATGAAAGGAACAAAACTTCAAAAAAATACCACAAGAACATAAGGGTCCTGCTGCTGGGAAGTCAAAGGAACAAGAACGATATCACTTGAAAAGGTTGGTGTGCGACTTGTAAGAACCACGGTCAAATTGATTCTTCGACAGGAAACGGGGTGACGTGATGAAACGGGGCTCTAGGAAAGGATCATGAATGTATTTTGATTTATTATCGCGCTCCTTCGAGGCCACCGTAGATATCAACCTGTCATTGAGCAAGGGTAAATGCACTTAAGAGTCACTGAGCTGTTTCGTCGAGGGAGAGCGAAAGTGGGTGTCATTTGCATTGCATGATTCGTGTCCTATTGGGTCTCTTTTGGGGTTAAAAAGGGTACAAAGGCCCAACTAACCTTCTTTGATTCTCGTGTATATATGGGTGCATAGAGAAGCATTTGCAGAGGGATCATAATTGCGGAAGAACTGATTTTTACGCTTACTGCGAATTACGTTCATTTCGTCAGTAGCTATAGTAAAATTGACATTATCTCCAAACTCAAAGCTTCAAGTTTCAAGAGTTTTAGTTAATGTCATAAAAACACATTTTATGAAAGTATAAACTACAGATTATATCCAATAAAGAAAACAGAGAGAACACACAAAATGGAGGAGAAAAAAAATTACCAAAAATATAAAAAGTTAGCAAAATATACTTATACAGAATCTTTAGAAGCAATTAGATGAACAACTGAACGGAAATAAAGCATGGTAAAGTAATAATAATAATAATAATCCGGTTTTTTTTTTACTCAAGTACGACTTTATGTTAGCTTTAAAAAGCTTTGTCGTAGTAATTTATTGAATAATTTGTCAAATGTTGTGATTACTTAGGAACGATACATTTGTGTGTTTGTGGTGTACGTGTCTCCGCACTATTTGTTGGACATATGACTGAAAACACACCAACAGTTGATGGACCTTTTTTTAATTGTGGGACCAAATGTCGGTCCCACAATTTTTTCCCTTTATAATACTCGTTTCCACCTTCTGACGTCATAGTGTTTATGAATATTCATGGTCTCACAATTAGTGTGTGTTTTCAGTTGGTGTGTTTTAATTTCATAAAATGCAAACACACACTCTGCAGAGCGCCATCTAGTGTCCTGTTTTCAAGCAGTCATTTATGTCCAACGTACAATAGCTATATAGGGCACGCGCATTATACATTTTATATGTGGTTACTAAAAAAGACGTTACGATACGTAGTAACTCTATGCATATGCATGGTGCATGCAGTGCGCGCGGCAAATCTCGTGCGCACATATACCACATGTATGTACATGCTGTCAACATGGAGCCGGAGCGGGAGCTGGAGTCATAGACATAGAAAGTAAGTTTGTTGAAACCTTTTTATATAGTATTGGCAGGATATTAGACAGTAGCAGTTATGTCTAACTTTCTTTAGCTACTGTACGTCTACCAACGTAAATAATTGGTTAAGATCTTCTTTAGATTCGAAGTTCAGATCCAGGCAGCTGTTTGGCTTTGGGGTAGGCCTAGGCTAAGACCTAAATAGGCAGGCGATTCGATTAGCGTTTCCAGTTAATTAAATAGATACTAGAGAGGGTCTAGACTCTAGATCTACCTCAGAACAATTGATAGAACTTGAAAGATGAGTCTTTTATTTGTTTTTAATGTAATTATCAAAGTCTACGTAATGCAGCAATAATGACTTGTCACGATAGCCAATTTAACCACATTATTTTATTAAAAACAGCAACAAAAAATTACATAGAGATTCTAGGTCTACTGTAGGCTAGGCCTAACATCTAAGTTACAGGCCATAACTGACTTGGATGTGCTATATCTAACTAGTAAACTAATTGTACGATTCACCCTCCCATGTATTTCTGATCAGACCTAAACAAAAAAGAAGTTGGAGACTATTGCCCTTTTAGGCTTTAGGTGCCAAAACATGGGTCGGTCAATCTTAAATCTTGAAGAAAAAAAAAAAATTAGTCTAAACTGTTTTTTTAAAAGCCGAACATAGATCTAGATTTACAAGATTTTTGGGTTGGTCACAAAGGGCAATAGCCCCCCTACAACTTTTTCTTTTTAGGCCTCATATACGAATTTACTTGGTGGAAGATTGTTATTAATGACTTTTCTTTTCAATGATAGTCTCATAATATAAAAGAGACATTTTTCAAATCAGGCTCCCTCCCCACCCCTCTGAACAATAGTGTAGTGGGCAAATTCATGCATAAGCAGTTGGCAAGTCAACCAACTCTGATGATTTGCTTGTGCTGCCCCTCGACTACCCCCACCTACCCGACCCGCTCTATGTACGGACATACAGCACTCCCTTGACTGGACACCCGCTTCAGCTGGCCCTCGATCAACCACCCCCTCCACTGTGTATGAACATCATCTTTAGCTGCCCCGCCACCAGCCCCCCCCCCCCCCCCCCCCCCACCCAGATGCAAGTTCTATGAAAAGTCAATGACACAAACACATTGGGGCTAATGAAAAACTGTCTGATTTCATGTGCTAACAAATTGGAGTTCATGTTTACTACCTAGTTTTATGACCACCTTTTTTGACAGAGTATGGCTTCAGGACAAAGAAAGCGACCTGCCCGTATTCCACCGCACAAAGTGGCAAAGAATTGGTGTGTCTTGGGCAAAGACCAGAGTGGATTTACCAAGACATTTATCAAAGATGATATAGGTAAATTATAAAGAACAAATCCATACAATAATGATAATAATGTTAATAACAATAATTATACACAATAAAAATAAAAGTAATGATAATTACAATGATAATAATAATAGTAATAATAATAATAACTTAGAAAATATTTACAATATTAATAATGATAATAATTTAATCAAAATAGTCATAGTAGTAATAGTGAATACGGTAGGCCTAGGGACTTGTGTCCCCCCCCCAAAAAAAAAAATAATACATTAATTAAATTAAATGAAATACAATAATAAACAAATAGGTAAAAGCGACAAAGAGAGCTAGAAAAAAGAAAAGATAGGAGCCATAAATATGGAATCATTGGAATGTATAAGCTATGTTATCCTGCAGTCTGCAGAGGTGTTAGGAGGTGCTATATAAAAATTAAATATTATTATTACTCGTGACACAGTCAAAGACCAGAGGTGTATCAAAAGAGCTTATCCTTTCAAGAAATCCATGTTTTCATTTGCAAATCTAAATGGCAACATTCACCAGGTTAATGTCATCCGAGTATGAATGGGCTTGGGATAGATTTTAAATTCCATTGTACTGGACAAGCACCATATACCCTAGAAACATCTCATGTGCTACTTGGAGGAACTGTAATGGTTTGAATTAATTTTGTAAAGGGGAATCCCCGTGGACCGTACAGGAAAGCACACATTTCTTCTGGCTCATGGCACCAGAACAGACCAGGCAAATGATAATTTTAATTCTATTAAACATACTACTATTGGAAGCTTGCATGGTTTGGGGAAAATGTAAATATTTTGAAATGCACTTTTCCTTCTCCATTTTTAGGATATGGCCTTGTGACCACAAGACCCTTTTTCAAGGGAAACTTTCTTCTGGAGTACCGTGGAGATCTGACCATTGCTCCTGATGAAGATGAAGAGAATGTGGACTATGTTTTCCATTTTTCTCACAATAATACAAAGTATCGGTAAGTAATTTAGATTAGTTTATTTCCTTGACTTTAGTATTTTGAGTGACAAAGTATTATGCTTGTTTCATGGGCATTTTTAGGATTCATCATTTTTGGATAGGTCCATTCTTAGTTGAGCAAATAACTATCCTCTGTTAGCTACTCAGCTTAAACAAGAAGAACAATCATCCCCAATAACCTTGGAAAAAGAAGAAATTGATGAAATGAAATATCTACTTGTTTAATTACATTATAATTTATAGAATTGTCACTACCGTAGTTCAAGGATGAATCATTTTAAATCTTGCATACCAATCTCGAGTCATGTTGGTTTCCTTAACTTATGTAGGACCTTTAGGTGTCAGTTATTTCACACCACCAATACTCATAGTACAGTGGTTTATCTAATGGGACAGATTAGGAAGTTTAGTTACTACTAGTAGCCTACTGTCATCGTTTGTGTGCTTGATATTTGTACTCTTTCCAGTATTGATGCGTCAGAGGAAGATTCATGCCTGGCAAGGTGGGTGAATGACGATCACATCCACCCAAACTGTGTAATTAAGAAAGTCACATTCAACCAGTCAAGTGGTTCTAGCCTTCCACATCTGTGCTTATTTGCATTAGTGGATATTAGACCTGGTGCTGAATTGAGATACGATTATGGCGTTGACAACTTACCATGGCGACAGGTACATGTTTCGTTTGTTTATTCTCATATATAGATTTGCTAAAAGGTGGACCTTAGAATGGGTAAATTAGCCACTAACCTACTTTCTGACATTCAAGATATTAATTCAGTGTTTAAAACTGCTAACTTAATACACAAAGGTGGACCTTATAATTTGTAAATGTGCTATACTGAGCTGACAAAGTGGACCTCACTTCAAGTGTTTTTGATGGTCTAAGCTAAAGTTTTAAAGGAAAAGAAAGATACCTTTAATACTCAGCATAGACTTGATAAACTACCTAAATCAATGAAAGTGGACCCAACAGTGTCTACAATTGATCAAATAATCTAGCAAAGGTGACTTCCAAGATAATTTCAAATGATCGTAACCTAATAAGGTGGACCTTTTATTACCATGGAATAAGCCAATGTTATGATTTGCTGAACTTTGTATAGCTTAACCAAGATACATGGACCTAACAATGTATAACATTGTGCAAAGAAAGTTTTACTAAACTAAACTAACAAAAATGAACCTTACAATGTGTAGACTCGCTATAAAAGAAACCTAACAAATATGGACCTCACAATGTTTAAGCTACTTTTATGATGACCTTGTTTTATTTTACATAAAAAAAGATATTACAGAGCTTTAATTAGGTTAATATTGCATTCTACATTTTCGTTCAAATCTCTAATATTGCTTCCCAATAGCCACCATCTGGGACAGATGTGAATGTGAAAGAGGATGATTGCAAGCCAACATGTGATCTGAGTTTAAATTGTTATTCATATGAAAGCTGAAAGCCTATAAAATGTGGCCTACTTTTTTGGTGAAAGTAGATCTTTTTTCCACTGAAAAGAAAAAAAGCTAGAGTATATGATTACTATTGCTTAGAGCGCTTAGAGACTACTTTAATACTTACTACTTACTTACTATATTCAATTTTGTTTTCAAATGAAGAATAAAAAGTTGAGCATAATTCACACAAATTATTTTGTCTGCAAAGTAAAGTGTTTTGGTAAGCCTGATATACGTATTTGTAAGGGGACAAAACTTCAAACCACCACTAATTATAATGATTATCCAATGATCTTATATTTTGAAACAATGAAGGAGGATGCTGCCAGACAGAGGGAACGTGAGACGGCAGAGCAATTGGTGAATACAGCAGAACGGAAACGTTTGAGAGAGGAGGCTGAGTGGGAGGCTGAGTGGGAGGCCGAGAAACGAAAGAGGGAAGAACGAGTTAGACAAGAAGAGGAGGAACAGAGGAGGACGGAGGAAGAAGAAGAAAGGATTAGGGATTTGAAAATTCAGGTAAGAACTTCATTATTTAAATTGTGAGATTGCAATGAAAAAGAATAACGGATTAGGAAGTCAGAAAGATGGGTAAGAACTTCTTTATTTAAAGGAAAACGAACCCTTCCTTCTTGTCTTTTCATATTGATTCTACTCTTCTTCTTTAAAAAAAACAAGTATTTGTACTATCTGCTTCCCTTTTCTCCTTTAAGTGATATTTATGTACTTTACTTTAGAATCAAACATTCAACAAGGCTTTATGCTCTTTTTCATTAACCCTTGTTATATACTAATTGTTTCTTTCCAATTTTGTAAATCTTAGTGTTTACTTATATCTAATAGTTTGATCTGATCATCTTCCTATTTTTTATTTTTACATCCTCTTCACGTAGAATCAGTTTGAAAAATACAAAGAAAAAAAAAACATCCATAATCAAGAAGAATGACAAAATATTCCTGTTTCTTTCTTACAGTCACAGTCAGGCAGTTCATATACACCGGATAGTGAAGAAGAAAGTGAAGAAGAATTCTTCCCAAGAAGTTTGAGAAACAAGGCTTCTAATAGGGTAAGAATATTCATTGTTTCTATGTATCATTGAACCCAATAACCCTATTTGTTAATCTTTTTTGGCAAAAATCATATCACATAACAAATATAACAAACATGAGTGAAGACAAAGTCGATAGAAAACATATAAATCACGATAGCAGGTGCATAAATTAATCGTGAACAAAACATATTGAGAGTTGTCAACAAATTAATGTCAATACCTATACGGTCGTGTCAAAAATGTCATATAGAAAAATCATATAGCCATAACTTTATTATTCCATTCACATTTGTGCTGACTTGTTTTATTCTGTCTGAACTTTGATTTCAAACTTGTTGACTTGAGGGTTTGGGTTTCTTTTTAATCTGTGCCCACAGCTCCATTCACTACCTGTAGTTTCCTTAAAACCACCCCTCCCACCTCCCACTCCTTCAATTTCTCCTTCCTCTTCTTTCACATCTGCTCTTTCTCTTCCTTTCAACTACTTTCCTCATACTCCTCCCGTTCCTGTTACTTTTTCTTCTTCCTCATCTTCTCTTTCTCATTCTCTTTCCCTACATCCTGTCCCCTTTTCTTACTCTGAATCTTCACTTACATGTCTTTCAGGCAATTATCTCTTTGCTCCTCCTCCTTCTCCTGTCCGATTTTCCCCTTCTCATTCTCCTTCCCCTTCTTCCTCTCCTCCTCCTTCTCCTCCTTCCTCTCCTTCTCCTACTGCTCCGCGTTCATCTCCTCCTATTTCTACTAATGCTTTTCTTCCCCGACCCTCATATTCTCTTCCTGTTTTTTTCCATAATACTCTGTACTTTTTTCTTGCTCTATTACTTCTTCTTCTTCTTCTTTTCATTATATTTGTCATTCTTTTGTATGTTCTTGAGTAATTTTCTCAAAGCTATTTTATTGATTTCCCCACTTTTATTTCATTTCTAGTGGGGTGGTGTATTTCCTTCCTCTTTGTTTCCACTTCTCCTCCTCTTCTCCCCCTTCCTCTCTAACTCGATCCTCATTCTCCTCCTTCTCCTCATTCTCCTCCTCTCCTTCCTCTCATGCTATTCCTTCCTTTTTTCTTGCTCCCTTATTTCTTCTTCTTTTCATTCTACTTCTGATTTTTTTTTTATGTTCTTGACACTGTTATTCATGTCCCCCCTTTTATTTTGTTTCTACTGGGGTGGGAGGGGGTGGGGACGTGGCTGACAAAGGAATTAGCCAATTGGTAAGATATTAACTTATTATTAGGTTGAATCGTATTTCACTGGTAGATGAAGGGTGCCCATTCAAGCGTAGCGAGCGTAATCTCAATGGTATCCGAATGGTATTTAAATGGCGTTTGTGAATGGTATCTGTATGGTATTTTCAGTGGTACTTCCGAATGGTATACCATTGGTATAATAGTGGGTTCTTGTATAGCGCTCATGTCAGTCAGATTTGACCCTCCTGGCGCTCCCGATTATTACCCTGGCTTTAGCACGGCTGCCATACGGCGCTCTAGCATTTCAAGGAATCAATTCCTACCAGGTACCCATTTACTTCACCTGGGTGTAGTGTGGCAAATGTAGATCAATGTCTTGCCAAAGAACATTAGCGTGGCGGCATAACATTGAACATTTTTTTGTAAGGGTTGTTTGACATTGCAAATACACCTAAATACCCCATTTGTTTGACAATGTAAATGCACCCAATGAAACATTCTATTTCTTCAACTGTGCAAACACACCAATTCAACACCCTATTTGTTTGACAATGTAAATTCACCCAATGAAACAAACAAATAGGGTATTGAATAGGTGTATTTGCAATGTCAAACAAATGGGTGTTGAATTGGTGTGTTTGCAATGTCAAACAAATGGGGTGTTGAATAGGTGTATTTGCAATGTCAAACAAATGGGGTGTTGAATTGGTGTGTTTGCACAGTTGAAGAAATAGAATGTTGAATAGGTGCATTTGCTTTGTCAAACAAATGGGGTGTTGAATTGGTGTGTTTGCACAGTTGAAGAAATAGAATGTTGAATAGGTGCATTTGCTTTGTCAAACAAATGGGGTATTGAATAGGTGTATTTGCAATGTCAAACAAATGGGGTGTTGAATTTGTGTGTTTGCACAGTTGAAGAAATAGAATGTTGAATAGGTGTGTTTGCAATGTCAAACAAATGGGGTGTTGAATTGGTGTGTTTGCACAGTTGAAGAAATAGAATGTTGAATAGGTGTGTTTGCAATGTCAAACAAATGGGGTGTTGAATTGGTGTGTTTGCACAGTTGAAGACATAGAATGTTGAATAGGTGCATTTGCTTTGTCAAACAAATGGGGTATTGAATAGGTGTGTTTGCAATGTCAAACAAATGGGGTATTGAATAGGTGTGTTTGCAATGTCAAACAAATGGGGTATTGAATAGGTGTGTTTGCAATGTCAAACAAATGGGGTGTTGAATTGGTGTGTTTGCACAGTTAAAGAAATAGAATTTTGAATAGGTGCATTTGCTTTGTCAAACAAATTGGGTATTGAATAGGTGTATTTGCAATGTCAAACAAATGGGGTGTTGAATTGGTGTGTTTGCACAGTTAAAGAAATAGAATGTTTCATTGGGTGCATTTGCTTTGTCAAACAAATGGGGTGTTGAATTGGTGTGTTTGCACAGTTGAAGAAAGAGAATGTTGAATAGGTGCATTTGCTTTGTCAAACAAATGGGGTGTTGAATTGGTGTGTTTGCACAGTTGAAGAAATAGAATGTTGAATAGGTGCATTTGCTTTGTCAAACAAATGGTGTTGAATTGGTGTGTTTGCACAGTTGAATAAATAGAATGTTGAATAGGTGCATTTGCTTTGGCAAACAAATGGGATTTGAATAGGTGTATTTACATTGTCAAACAAATGGGGTGTTGAATTGGTGTGTTTGCACAGTTCAAGAAATTGAATGTTTCATTGGGTGCATTTGCTTTGTCAAACAAATGGAGTGTTGAATTGGTGTGTTTGCACAGTTGAAGAAATAGAATGTTGAATAGGTGCATTTGCTTTGTCAAACAAATGGGGTGTTGAATTGGTGTGTTTGCACAGTTGAAGAAATAGAATGTTGAATAGGTGCATTTGCTTTGTCAAACAAATGGGGTATTGAATTGGTGTGTTTGCAATGTCAAACAAATGGGGTGTTGAATTGATGTGTTTGCAATGTCAAACAAATGGGGTGTTGAATTGGTGTGTTTGCACAGTTGAAGACATAGAATGTTGAATAGGTGCATTTGCTTTGTCAAACAAATGGGGTAGTGAATAGGTGTGTTTGCAATGTCAAACAAATGGGGTATTGAATAGGTGTGTTTGCAATGTCAAACAAATGGGTATTGAATAGGTGTGTTTGCAATGTCAAACAAATGGGGTGTTAAATTAGTGTGTTTGCACTGTTCAAGAAATAGAATGTTGAATAGGTGCATTTGCTTTGTCAAACAAATGGGGTATTGAATAGGTGTATTTGCAATGTCAAACAAATGGGGTATTAAATAGGTGTATTTGCAATGTCAAACAAATGGGGTATTGAATAGGTGTGTTTGCAATGTCAAACAAATGGGGTGTTGAATTAGTGTGTTTGCACAGTTGAAGAAATAGAATGTTAAATAGGTGCATTTGCTTTGTCAAACAAATGGTGTTGAATTGGTGTGTTTGCACAGTTGAATAAATAGAATGTTGAATAGGTGCATTTGCTTTGTCAAACAAATGGGGTGTTGAATTGGTGTGTTTGCACAGTTGAAGAAATAGAATGTTAAATAGGTGCATTTGCTTTGTCAAACAAATGGTGTTGAATTGGTGTGTTTGCACAGTTGAATAAATAGAATGTTGAATAGGTGCATTTGCTTTGGCAAACAAATGGGATTTGAATAGGTGTATTTACATTGTCAAACAATGGGGTGTTGAATTGGTGTGTTTGCACAGTTGAAGAAATAGAATGTTGAATAGGTGCATTTGCTTTGTCAAACAAATGGGGTGTTGAATTGGTGTGTTTGCACAGTTGAAGAAATAGAATGTTGAATAGGTGCATTTGCTTTGTCAAACAAATGGGGTGTTGAATTGGTGTGTTTGCACAGTTGAAGAAATAGAATGTTGAATAGGTGCATTTGCTTTGTCAAACAAATGGGGTGTTGAATTGGTGTGTTTGCACAGTTGAAGAAATAGAATGTTGAATAGGTGCATTTGCTTTGTCAAACAAATGGTGTTGAATTGGTGTGTTTGCAATGTCAAACAAATGGGGTGTCGAATTGGTGTGTTTGCACAGTTGAAGAAATAGAATGTTGAATAGGTGCATTTGGTTTGTCAAACAAATGGGGTATTGAATAGGTGTGTTTGCAATGTCAAACAAATGGGGTGTTGAATTGGTGTGTTTGCAATGTCAAACAAATGGGGTGTTGAATTGGTGTGTTTGCTAAGTTGAAGAAATAGAATGATGAATAGGTACATTTGCTTTGGCAAACAAATGGGGTGTTGAATTGGTGTGTTTGCACAGTTCAAGAAATTGAATGTTTCATTGGGTGCATTTGCTTTGTCAAACAAATGGGGTGTTGAATTGGTGCATTTGCCTTGTAAAACAAATGGGGTGTTGAATTTGTGTGTTTGCACAGTTGAAGAAATAGAAGGTTTCATTGCATGGGTGCATGTGGTTTGTTAAACAAATTGGGTATTGAATAGGTGTATTTGCAATGTCAAACAAATGGGGTGTTGAATTGGTGTGTTTGCACTGTTGAAGAAATAGAATGTTGAATAGGTGCATTTGCTTTGTCAAACAAATGGGTGTTGAATTTGTGTGTTTGCACAGTTGAAGAAATAGAATGTTGAATAGGTGCATTTGCTTTGTCAAACAAATGGGGTGTTGAATTGGTGTGTTTGCAATGTCAAACAAATGGGGTGTTGAATTGGTGTGTTTGCACAGTTGAAGAAATAGAATGTTGAATAGGTGCATCTGCTTTGGCAAACAAATGGGGTGTTGAATTGGTGTGTTTGCAATGTCAAACAAATGGGGTGTTGAATTGGTTTGTTTGCACAGTTGAAGAAATAGAATGTTGAATAGGTGCATTTGCAATGTCAAACAAATGGGGTGTTGAATTGGTGTGTTTGCACAGTTGAAGAAATAGAATGTTTCATTAGGTGCATTTGCCTTGTAAAACAAATGGGGTGTTGAATTGGTGTGTTTGCACAGTTGAAGAAATAGAAGGTTTCATTGCATGGGTGCATTTGGTTTGTTAAACAAATTGGGTATTGAATAGGTGTATTTGCAATGTCAAACAAATGGGGTGTTGAATTGGTGTGTTTGCACAGTTGAAGACATAGAATGTTGAATAGGTGCATTTGCTTTGTCAAACAAATGGGGTAGTGAATAGGTGTGTTTGCAATGTCAAACAAATGGGGTATTGAATAGGTGTGTTTGCAATGTCAAACAAATGGGTATTGAATAGGTGTGTTTGCAATGTCAAACAAATGGGGTGTTAAATTAGTGTGTTTGCACTGTTCAAGAAATAGAATGTTGAATAGGTGCATTTGCTTTGTCAAACAAATGGGGTATTGAATAGGTGTATTTGCAATGTCAAACAAATGGGGTATTGAATAGGTGTATTTGCAATGTCAAACAAATGGGGTATTGAATAGGTGTGTTTGCAATGTCAAACAAATGGGGTGTTGAATTAGTGTGTTTGCATAGTTGAAGAAATAGAATGTTGAATAGGTGCATTTGCTTTGTCAAACAAATGGGGTGTTGAATTGGTGTGTTTGCACAGTTGAAGAAATAGAATGTTAAATAGGTGCATTTGCTTTGTCAAACAAATGGTGTTGAATTGGTGTGTTTGCACAGTTGAATAAATAGAATGTTGAATAGGTGCATTTGCTTTGGCAAACAAATGGGATTTGAATAGGTGTATTTACATTGTCAAACAATGGGGTGTTGAATTGGTGTGTTTGCACAGTTGAAGAAATAGAATGTTGAATAGGTGCATTTGCTTTGTCAAACAAATGGGGTGTTGAATTGGTGTGTTTGCACAGTTGAAGAAATAGAATGTTGAATAGGTGCATTTGCTTTGTCAAACAAATGGTGTTGAATTGGTGTGTTTGCAATGTCAAACAAATGGGGTGTTGAATTGGTGTGTTTGCACAGTTGAAGAAATAGAATGTTGAATAGGTGCATTTGGTTTGTCAAACAAATGGGATATTGAATAGGTGTGTTTGCAATGTCAAACAAATGGGGTGTTGAATTGGTGTGTTTGCAATGTCAAACAAATGGGGTGTTGAATTGGTGTGTTTGCTAAGTTGAAGAAATAGAATGATGAATAGGTGCATTTGCTTTGGCAAACAAATGGGGTGTTGAATTGGTGTGTTTGCACAGTTCAAGAAATTGAATGTTTCATTGGGTGCGTTTGCTTTGTCAAACAAATGGGGTGTTGAATTGGTGTGTTTACATTGTCAAACAAATGGGTGTTGAATTGGTGTGTTTGCACAGTTGAAGAAATAGAATGTTGAATAGGTGCATTTGCTTTGTCAAACAAATGGGTGTTGAATTGGTGTGTTTGCACAGTTGAAGAAATAGAATGTTGAATAGGTGCATTTGCTTTGTCAAACAAATGGGGTATTAAATAGGTGTATTTGCAATGTCAAACAAATGGGGTGTTGAATTGGTGTGTTTGCACAGTTAAAGAAATAGAATGTTTCATTGGGTGCATTTGCTTTGTCAAACAAATGGGGTGTTAAATTGGTGTGTTTGCACAGTTGAAGAAAGAGAATGTTGAATAGGTGCATTTGCTTTATCAAACAAATGGGGTGTTGAATTGGTGTGTTTGCACAGTTGAAGAAATAGAATGTAAAATAGGTGCATTTGCTTTGTCAAACAAATGGTGTTGAATTGGTGTGTTTGCACAGTTGAATAAATAGAATGTTGAATAGGTGCATTTGCTTTGGCAAACAAATGGGATTTGAATAGGTGTATTTACATTGTCAAACAAATGGGGTGTTGAATTGGTGTGTTTGCACAGTTGAAGAAATTGAATGTTTCATTGGGTGCATTTGCTTTGTCAAACAAATGGGGTGTTGAATTGGTGTGTTTGCACAGTTGAAGAAATAGAATGTTGAATAGGTGCATTTGCTTTGTCAAACAAATGGGGTGTTGAATTGGTGTGTTTGCACAGTTGAAGAAATAGAATGTTGAATAGGTGCATTTGCTTTGTCAAACAAATGGGGTGTTGAATTGGTGTGTTTGCACAGTTGAAGAAATAGAATGTTGAATAGGTGCATTTGCTTTGTCAAACAAATGGGGTGTTGAATTGGTGTGTTTGCACAGTTGAAGAAATAGAATGTTGAATAGGTGCATTTGCTTTGTCAAACAAATGGTGTTGAATTGGTGTGTTTGCAATGTCAAACAAATGGGGTGTTGAATTGGTGTGTTTGCACAGTTGAAGAAATAGAATGTTGAATAGGTGCATTTGGTTTGTCAAACAAATGGGGTATTGAATAGGTGTGTTTGCAATGTCAAACAAATGGGGTGTTGAATTGGTGTGTTTGCAATGTCAAACAAATGGGGTGTTGAATTGGTGTGTTTGCTAAGTTGAAGAAATAGAATGATGAATAGGTGCATTTGCTTTGGCAAACAAATGGGGTGTTGAATTGGTGTGTTTGCACAGTTCAAGAAATTGAATGTTTCATTGGGTGCATTTGCTTTGTCAAACAAATGGGGTGTTGAATTGGTGCATTTGCCTTGTAAAACAAATGGGGTGTTGAATTTGTGTGTTTGCACAGTTGAAGAAATAGAAGGTTTCATTGCATGGGTGCATTTGGTTTGTTAAACAAATTGGGTATTGAATAGGTGTATTTGCAATGTCAAACAAATGGGGTGTTGAATTGGTGTGTTTGCACTGTTGAAGAAATAGAATGTTGAATAGGTGCATTTGCTTTGTCAAACAAATGGGTGTTGAATTTGTGTGTTTGCACAGTTGAAGAAATAGAATGTTGAATAGGTGCATTTGCTTTGTCAAACAAATGGGGTGTTGAATTGGTGTGTTTGCAATGTCAAACAAATGGGGTGTTGAATTGGTGTGTTTGCACAGTTGAAGAAATAGAATGTTGAATAGGTGCATCTGCTTTGGCAAACAAATGGGGTGTTGAATTGGTGTGTTTGCAATGTCAAACAAATGGGGTGTTGAATTGGTGTGTTTGCACAGTTGAAGAAATAGAATGTTGAATAGGTGCATTTGCAATGTCAAACAAATGGGGTGTTGAATTGGTGTGTTTGCACAGTTGAAGAAATAGAATGTTTCATTAGGTGCATTTGCCTTGTAAAACAAATGGGGTGTTGAATTGGTGTGTTTGCACAGTTGAAGAAATAGAAGGTTTCATTGCATGGGTGCATTTGGTTTGTTAAACAAATTGGGTATTGAATAGGTGTATTTGCAATGTCAAACAAATGGGGTGTTGAATTGGTGTGTTTGCACTGTTCAAGAAATAGAATGTTGAATAGGTGCATTTGCTTTGTTAAACAAATGGGGTGTTGAATTGGTTTGTTTGCAATGTAAAACAAATAGGGTGTTGAATTGGTGAATACATTTGCAATGTCAGACATTTTGTAAGTATTATTTTTTATGTCATGCTTCATCGACCAATGGTAGGACTTCACCAAAATTACAAATGTGAACCCCCATGCCCCCTCCTGGGACAAATTTGGGTTTGTGGGACATTATGACCTTAAGTGTGAGAAACTGTTGCAAAACAAAGTCTAATATTATTGTACCACCTACCACCATACAAATTGCTTTTGTATGGACAAAATTCTTTGGGAAGGTACAGAGAATTTTTGATTGGGGCTCGTATCTAGAGTAATGACTCGTGCATGACACACTGAAATAATATGAAGTGACAATTTCATCAGTTTACCCTATAACTTCAATGGTGACAATGATCTTGCCCAGCACTTTATTCTAAAAATTACTGTAAAATTTTGCCCCAGGTTGAAAATTTTGGTGTAAATTGTTAGTAAAAAAAAGAAGAAGTATACTCAAGCATGTGTCTATTGAGCCTTAATTCAATGTAAAATGTTGACATATTTATGCCTTCGCACACCGAAGGTGGTGCCAGAGGCATCATGTTTTTGGATTGTCCGTCCGTTACCGCTTCTTGTTAGCGTGATTACTTATGACCGGCTGATCGGATGTTTGATATCAGATTTGATTTGAGCTCTGATTTGAGCTCTTGACCACGATAACTTGAATGGTTTATTTGATATTGATGTAATGTGGGTGAAGTATGTATCATAAGTCCCCAATAAACTGCTCAGATTTCAGGGTTCAAAGGTCACAGGGCCTGAAATATGTCTGACTTGAGCTCTGGACAACGATAACTTGAGAAAGGTTTATCGGAAATTAATATAACTTGGGTGACGTATATATTATAAGGCACCAATGAACTGATCAAATTTCAGGGTTGATAGGTCAAAGGTCACATGGCCCTATACTTGGTGTTTTACCACAACTTGAAAGTGGTTAATTGGATATTGATGGGGCTTTGGTGAGGTATCTGTTAATAAGGCACCAATGAACTGATCAGATTTCAGGGTTGAAAGGTCGAAGGTCATGAGATATCATGCTTAGTGATAATGTGACAATGGCTCATTGGATATTGATGTAACTTAAAGTATGTATTATTGCGCACTGATAAACTTATCAGATTTTGGGTCATGATCAGCGTTCAAAATTCGCGGGGCCCCATACCTGGTGTCTTTACAAATTGGACCCGGGTGCGGAATAATACCTGCCGGCTGCATGCAGCCGAATAATCTCTAGTTATTGTTGACTTTTCAAAAATACACATCATTGTAAAGATATATTCCAGATTTGTATCCAGGATTACAGTATATCTGAATATCTCATCAAATGTGAAAAATAAAGAGGAAAAAATAAAAATTTGTACCGAAAGTTTCAGTCACAATTAAACTTTACTCTCGTTGCCATCAGCATGTAAAACACCCAAATGAATTAAAGTTGTGCCTCTTGTATTTGCTTTTTCAGGAAATTAACTCCAACAGACAACAGAAAAAAGTGGCACCTGTGATGGTTGAAAGTGACAGTGAGATCAACTCCAATGGAAAGAGGAAATTGGTAGAAAGTGAAGGTGATATCAAGTCTAACCGAAAACTGGGAAAAAAAGCACCTGCGATAGTAGAAAGTGACAGTGACAAAGAAGATGAGCCATATGTGGCACCAGTGATGGTTGAAAGTGACAGTGAGATCAACTCCAATGGAAAGAGGAAATTGGTAGAAAGTGATGGTGATATCAAGTCTAACCAAAAACTGGGAAAAAAAGCACCTGCGATAGTAGAAAGTGACAGTGACAAAGAAGATGAGCCATATGTGGCACCAGTGATGGTTGAAAGTGACAGTGAGATCAACTCCAATGGAAAGAGGAAATTGGTAGAAAGTGATGGTGATATCAAGTCTAATCGAAAACTGGGAAAAAAGGCACCTGCGATAGTAGAAAGTGACAGTGACAAAGAAGATGAGCCATATGTAGCTGCATCAAATACAAAACCCAACGGACCAAGGAAATGGGATTCATATTCATACTGTCTATATTGCGGTAAGAAGCAGTCACAGCTTAAACGCCATCTGTTACGAAAGCACACAGATGAGTCAATGGTTGCAGAAGCCCAGGCAACAGTTGATGATAACAGAAAAACGCAAATATGGTCAAAAATAAAGAAATTAGGGGACTTTGAGCACAATCAAAAGGTACACATTGGAGAAGCAATGGATTTAAAAGTAACAAAGAGGCCTAAATATAAAGCGAAATATGATGTGAATGATTACGTCCCATGCTCTTATTGTTACGGATATTACCATATTCATTCCCTGTACATTCACAGAAAAAATTGTAAAGCAAAAGATGGAAGCAAGAACAATGCAACAAACAAAAACATGCATGTGAAAAGTGGTAGAGCTCTTATACCTATGAAGCATAGCACAACAAGTCAATGTCGCAGAGCAGTTGATTCAATGGGTTGCAATGATATATCACTAATAATAAAAAATGATCAAGACATCCTTGGTGTTGGACAGAATCACTTAGGAAAAAGCAATTCTGCTAAGAAGGAAGAAACATGCAGAGAAAAAATGAGGACAGTCGCAAAAGTTCTACAAGCAGCAAGAAGCATTGACACAAGTATTGTAAATGCGTCAGACATGCTTACTCCTAGCAAATTTGATACTGTAGTTAAGGCTTCTCTTGTTGTAAGCAAATATGATGAAGGCACACAAAAACATGGGGCATACTCTACTGCTCTCAAGCTTGGACCATTTCTTAAAGACCTGGTGGTGGTTGTCAGGGGCAAGTATACCAGACAACATATGGAAGACCATGTGAAGACGGTCAATGAATTTGAAAGGTTGCTTGTTGATGAGTGGAACATTCATGTGACTTCCTCTGCACTGCAGCAGCGCACCGAGAAGAATTGGAAAAACCCTAGGACACTGCCTCTCACACAAGATGTTGTTCAATTTAACAAGTATCTTGCAGAAACAGAGAAAGAAATAAAGACAGACATAGAAGAAGCTGGCATGTCACCAGATCTATACAGAGATTTGGCCAATGTAACTCTAGCGCAAATTGTAACATACAATAGAAGACGACCTGGGGAAGTAGAAAGAATGAAAGTAGATGAATACAGAGAGCAGATCACCAAGACTGACATATGCCATGATGAAATTTTCAAGACTCTCACAATGTCAGAGAAGGCAGCAATGAATCGGCTGAAGATGGTAAAGGTCAGAGGCAAGAGAGGAAGGGGAGTTCCAGTCTTTTTGACTGAAAACACAAAACAGAGTGTGGATATGATAATAGACTACCATGACCAAAGGCAAAGAGATGATGAGCCACGCAGATACATATTCTCTCGAGCATGTGACACTGCTAGTACTCCGTACAGAGCCTGTGACGCAATGAAAACACTTACTGATAAGGCAGATCTTATGAAGCCAGAAAATGTCAGGTGTACACGACTACGGAAACATATAGCAACTACGTCCCAGCTGCTGAACTTAAATGATCATGAGTTAGAGCAGTTGGCCAATATGATGGGTCATGATGTTCGTATTCATCGAGAATATTACAGACTTCCGCAAGATGTCCTGCTGTTGGCAAAGGCTAGCAAACTACTCACAATATCTGCAAAAGGTGAAATGCACAAATATGCTGGAAAGTCACTTGAGGAAATTGAGCTGAGTCCAGACGACACTGTAGATCTAGATGAAACCGACCAAACAATGTCGGGAGACACACAGACTGAATATAGTGATGAAGAGACTGGACCTCGTGATGTAGACAAGAGCCCTGGAGGAAGCGATGCAGAAACAGTAGTTAGTGACAGTGAAGAGTCTGAAGTCTTTGAAGAGGTAAGCAGACGTACCCAAGCAAAAGTAAAGCGTGTAGGCAGAAAATACAACAGGTGGACAGATGAACAGACACAATATCTCAAATCCAGGGAAGAAGTCAAGAAAATGTTGAAGACTAAAACTGTGCCAGGAAAACTGGTTGGATTACAAATCATACAAAAGAGTAAGGGACTGCTGAAAGACAAGAACTGGAAAGAAGTTAAATTCAAAGTCCATACTTTAAACCAACTTGAAAGGAAGAGGTTGCAGAAGAAGGAAAAGATGTATGTGAAAAAGTAAGCAGGGTGTTGTGGATGGACCTCTCCTTTGACAGCTGAATTAATTGCGACATACCTGCATTTTGTACCATTTTTTCTTTTTTTGTTTGTATTGAAGTGTTACTACAAAAATTTGATATAGGTTTTAGTTTAGGGAAAAGAGTTCATATTTTACCTAAATTCAGTATCAGTATGGTACATGCTGCAAATCACATCATGGTTGATTATTACACAGAACACCTCTACACCAAGTGCAGTTGGTAGATGCTTCCAATAATATTGGAATGAATTTTGAAATACTGGCCTTTCAGGTTATCAAATACCTTACCTATGGTATGTGTCAGTGTTGTCTCAATACTCAATTGCCCATTTTCATTTTTTTTTTATCAGAAAGTAAGTGTTTCCTATTATTTTAATTAAGTTTAAGAAATCTGTACAGTAAAAGAAATGTCCTGCATTCAAAGCATTTGGTGATGGATATCCAAGAATTGTTATGTTGGTTTCGTTGATTTGCGGATGTAACACTGACACCTGATGTTTCCAAATCAACCAAATGCTTCATCTATCATGAGTCCCTGTGATTTCACTTGATACCATTGGTTGACTGTCTCATGTAAATATGTTGTACAAGTACATCAATTAAGGGTGGTGGAGGGATAATGTTTTATCCAATATGTTTTATCTCGTAACTCGTGAACAACTCTGATGGGAAGTGCATGAGTGTATACATTTTCTGACAGGAAATTACACAATAAATCCATTGGTGACTCCATTTAAATCACACAAAAAACCTGCTTTTTACCCAATTTTTTGGACCACCATTATAAAGTAACTTTACAGGGAAATTTTTTTTTTAATGTAACATTAATCCAGGCACTTGAACCTCATTTACTACTCTCAGTTGTTTCAAACTCGTACCTATTGTCCAAAACATTGACAAATATTTTTTTGAAAATGTCATTCCCAAGTTTGAGTTTATGCATCATGGGTTATGAAAACAAACTCAAGGACCTACTTTAATACAAAAAATTAAAACTAAAATTTAGTTGCTACTGTATATTCTGCATGAAAGTTTACCAAGGAGATGCTTTATTTTGGTGTCTGGATTAGTTCCAAAAAAAAAAAAAGTGGAGAAAATAATACGACTGAAATTGTTGATTTTATGCAAAAACATTTATTTTCATCTAATGGCATCCAATGGCATCCAATGGCATGTTTCCAGTTTTGTAATGATTGCCAATTGTGTTAATTTCCACAGATTTTAGATTAAACATCCACATGGTATATATTTCTGAAAAATTTGAAACATGTTTGCATAATGTTGCATATGAGTTACAGCGCTGTTATTTTGCTCTCAAATGACCCTTCATTTGCTCAAATCCCTCATCCCACCTGTCACATATATCACTATGCAGATCTTCATGGTAAATATGGTATGTTTTGTTTCAAACCTCATTTTCAAATGATGATAATTGATTACTCAACTGTGCATAGAATAAGTGATTTTACTAATATGCAAACATGTTTCAACTTTTTGAGAAATGCGTCTGTATATCAAACATCTGTACAAATTCAATTCATAAAACCTTTAAACATGGGTTGAATTGATATTACACATACTGTGTTTATACTTTGCATATAGCACATGATGATTTGTTGATGTAATTTGTTATCCAGTCGATGTAGATTTGAGAAAATTATAAATGCTTTATTTGGGTGTCTGGATTAGTTTTTAAAAAAGTGGAGAAAATAATGATAATTGACTGAAATTGTTGATTTTATGTTCAAACATTTATTTTCAGTTAATTTTCAATCTCATATTTGAAAAATCACAAATATTTTGTCTCCTGATTTTAGGACAAGTTTGCTGACAAGAGGCCACGTCCAATGGCATGTTGTTTTCAGTTTTGTAATGATTGCCAATTGTGCGTATTTTTCCAAGTTAATTTCCACAGATTTCTGAGTAAACATCCACATGGTATGTATTTCTGAAAAATTTGAAACATGTTTGCATAATGTTGTATATGAGTTAAAGCGTTTTTTTTTTCTTCTCCCAAATGACCCTTTATTTGCTCAAATCTCTCATCCCACCTGTCACATATATCACTATGCAAATCTTCATGGTAAATATGTGTTTGTTTTTTCCAAACCTTCTCATGTTTCAAGGATGATAATTGATTACTCTGCTGTGCATGGAATAAGTGATTGTCACAAACGAGGCGTTGTAGAGAAGACTACAGATTTTACTAATATGCAAACATGTTTCAACTTTTTGAGAAATGCGTCTGTATATCAAACATCTGTACAAATTCAATTCATAAAACCTTTAAACATGGGTTGAATTGATATTACACATACTGTGTTTATACTTTGCATATAGCACATGATGATTTGTTGATGTAATTTGTTATCCAGTCGATGTAGATTTGAGAAAATTATAAATGCTTTATTTGGGTGTCTGGATTAGTTTTTAAAAAAGTGGAGAAAATAATGATAATTGACTGAAATTGTTGATTTTATGTTCAAACATTTATTTTCAGTTAATTTTCAATCTCATATTTGAAAAATCACAAATATTTTGTCTCCTGATTTTAGGACAAGTTTGCTGACAAGAGGCCACGTCCAATGGCATGTTGTTTTCAGTTTTGTAATGATTGCCAATTGTGCGTATTTTTCCAAGTTAATTTCCACAGATTTCTGAGTAAACATCCACATGGTATGTATTTCTGAAAAATTTGAAACATGTTTGCATAATGTTGTATATGAGTTAAAGCGTTTTTTTTTTCTTCTCCCAAATGACCCTTTATTTGCTCAAATCTCTCATCCCACCTGTCACATATATCACTATGCAAATCTTCATGGTAAATATGTGTTTGTTTTTTCCAAACCTTCTCATGTTTCAAGGATGATAATTGATTACTCTGCTGTGCATGGAATAAGTGATTGTCACAAACGAGGCGTTGTAGAGAAGACTACAGCTTTTACTAATATGCAAATATGTTTCAACTTTCTGAGAAATGCATCTGTATTTCAAAGTTTCCAAACTTACGTTGAGGAGTTTATATCAAACATCTGTACAAATTCAATTCATAAAACCTTTAAAATGGGTTGAATTGATATTACATATACTGTGTTTTTACTTTGCATATAGCACATGATGTGTTTCAATGACTATATTCTTCTTGGCACATACTGCAATGAAGTCTTAATTTGAACTGGATTGACAGCAAGTTGTGTTGAGTTGCAGTGTAAAAATTATGGATAGATAGATAATGCAACTCTATAAAGTAAGAGCATGGATGAAACCTTTTTAAGGTCAAAAGATTTGCTTCACTGCCTGCAATTTGTGTATAGCTTGTGATTTAATCCATTATAAGAATGAAGGTGAAATTTGTGCAGTGCTTTTTTTAGATTTCAAACATTTTTTCAAATTGTATTTTTCTTTTTCAAGTTTGATGGTTAAAAAGTTGACAAATTGTAGCTTTTTTAGGAAAACAATTGAGATTGTAAACTGCCAGCACTGTCTCCACAGCTCTTAATAGGGCTATTGCATTGGCTTCAACTTCAAGAATGCTGAGAAGATTTCCCTGTTAAGTGAAGTGCATGTCTACCAGTTATTTTGTTATTTCACTGATGTTGAACTCGCAAAATAAATGTTCAATTGGCATTTACAACAGAGAATAAGTTGTGGATATTATCTTTTATTTAAAGTATTTTAACACTGCAGCAGCAATCTTATTTGTAATTTAGAGACGGTGCTAAACCCAAGACATACATAAGAAATAAGCACAACAAATCGCTGACAAGACAAATCCATACATTTTTTATCTTTATTAAATGAACGCAAAGAATAAAATATCTGAAATGATAGCCATTTCATTGCAGAGTGCAAAGACGCCACAAATTTTTCACATTTGAATGTTGAAAATATAAAGACATGTTTAACACAATATTGACATTGGAAAGCACCAATTCAACACCCCGATTGTTTGACATTACAAACGCAATTCAACACCCCGATTATTTGACACTGCCAACACATGCACCAATTCAACACCCCGATTATTTGACACTACAAACACATGCATCACTTCAACACCCCAATTGTTTGACACTGCAAACACATGCACCAATTCAACACCCCAATTGTTTGACATTGCAAACACATGCACCAATTCAACACCCCAATTGTTTGACACTGCAAACACATGCACCAATTCAACCCCAATTGTTTGACATTGCAAACACATGCACCAATTCAACACCCCAATTGTTTGACATTGCAAACACATGCACCAATTCAACACCCCAATTGTTTGACATTGCAAACGCATGCACCAATTCAACACCCCAATTGTTTGACACTGCAAACACATGCACCAATTCAACACCCCGATTGTTTGACATTGCAAACACAGTGCACCAATTCAACACCCCAATTGTTTGACAGTGCAAACACATGCACCAATTCAACACCCCATTTGTTTGACATTGCAAACACATGCACCAATTCAACACCCCAATTGTTGGACATTGCAAACACATGCACCGATTCAACACCCCAATTGTTGGACACTACAAACACATGCACCAATTCAACACCCCAATTGTTTGACATTGCAAACACATGCACCAATTCAACACCCCAATTGTTTGACATTGCAAACACATGCACCGATTCAACACCCCAATTGTTTGACACTACAAACACATGCACCAATTCAACACCCCAATTGTTTGACATTGCAAACACATGCACCAATTCAACACCCCAATTGTTTGACATTGCAAACACATGCACCAATTCAACACCCCAATTGTTTGACATTGCAAACACATGCACCAATTCAACACCCCAATTGTTTGACACTACAAACACATGCACCAATTCAACACCCCAATTGTTTGACACTACAAACACATGCACCAATTCAACACCCCAATTTCTTGACACTACAAACACAGTTCAACACCCCAATTGTTTGACACTGCAAACCATGGGTGTCGATACTTACGTAATACCTATTCATCAGGGGGGGGGGGGGGGGTGAATGAATAGATCATCCCCCCCTGATGAATAGGTATCAGTTACGGATCGACACCCATGCTGCAAACACATGCACCAATTCAACACCCCAATTTCTTGACACTACAAACACAATTCAACACCCTAATTGTTTGACACCACTTGGTCAAACTATTGGGGTACCTCAATTGTAGGTTCATAACGTGTTCGAGTACTGGTCCAGAAATTAATGTTTAGGAGCGTATGCGTGTGTGTGTGTGTGTGTGCCCATTGTGTGTTTATTTGTGTAATTCAGTTTCTATTATTCACTAGTCTTAATCTATATCTATTTGGTATTTGTTTCGTACTTTCTCTCTCTCTCTCTTCATGGCCATTCCTCATAAGCATTTTGCCTTTCTTTTGGTCCTTTCCATACTCCACACTGTATTTTGAATAATTGTTGTGTGTTTTTATGGTTAAGGTTAAATAAAATATCTTCAATATACATGTTAATATTTCGTCGGCACAAGTCAGCTGTAGCCGTCTCCTGTTTGTTCTATCAGTCGACCAATACAGAAGAAAAGTTAAGTAATTCAAATAAACATTGGACATATCGAGAAGTGCATGCAGCTTTCAAAGAATGATACCCTTCTAATATCGTATTCCAACTGGACATTGTCTTGTGAAATTGGAGAAAGAAAGCATCCTTAAAACGTGACGTGGGTGCCATATAAAGGATTGTCAGAAATTGCTATGTAAAGATTTACACATTGTTACACAAACTGTCACGTGTCATCTCCAAATCACTCAATTATTTAAACTGTTTTTATAAGGGGAATCATGAATAATACTGTCCAAGTGTAGTTTTCATGTCACGAATACTAAATCGACTATTTTAAGTTTCTTTATTCTTGCACCAATTTTGATTCAAAAACTGATCGGATCTGTGTTCCTGATTTGTCCTGATCATTGGCTAAAAAATCTGTAATATTTACCATTTCATTCTTTTTATTGAAGAAATATCCTTATGGACATCAGTGGAGCGTTGGTATTTCTACCGCCTAGACTACTTCATCTAACCTGGGTTCCTTGTTACGTCATACTTATTCTGAACATTAACCATTCTTAACCTGTTCTTAATCTATACTGTAATTCCCCATTGAATCGGCAGAGCTTAAATATTTTTATTAACCAAAAGAGTTAACATTATTTTCTCCTCAAATCATTGTAGAGTGTTGAGATACCCAAAGGTGTTTCATATTTTCAAAATTCAGATCCAGAAGGAGCGAAACTTGTATTAAAATATGTAAATTAGAACAAGAAGCTGTAGGATTATCCGAACACGATTCCTTTAGGGGATAAATTGAGGTAATGAAATTGCCTAAGAGTTGATGTTATGAGTGTGTTTACTACACGTACGGGGATGAAACAGTAATCCATCAACTTATGTTAAGTGTACAGGGTAATTAAGAATTGTTTCAACAAGCCTGTAAGCTTCAAATGCTTAAAAAAAAAGAAAGTGTTGCAAGCAGGATCGTCGTTTTCGATTACGTTTAGCCTTGGTCTCTTCAATTTTGTACCTCATGTCGTATAGTTTGCTGAAATCGTCCGGAAGTCACGGATGTCGCCTTTCTATTAAGCCGGATGTTGAAAACATCCATCTATGTTACATCTCTTGACTAGCACTTCGGCTGCTTTCGTCGCCTTTCCCCCCGGTCGCTCGTTAGCCACTCGTGCTATTTTACACCAAACACTACGAACCAATTGACACAAGAATTGCTTTGGGCAACACAATGACGTTGCAAAATGACAAATTTCCAATCTTAAAGATAAACTTGAGTTCTGGTTAAAAAAAGAAAATGAATTCTCACAGAATCTAACGAAACTTACACTATATGTTCAAGATTACAAATAAATGTCATGTGCCAAACAATTTTGGAAGAAAATGTATACTGGCTGAGTAATGAGCATAGAAAGATAAGGAAATCAGGGTAGTACTAGCCCCGACACCATGTGTGTTGTCCCATATATATCTTTCTGTGTAAGTGATTGTTACTTTACCAAGACTCTGCCAAATTTATGATGATTTTGATAACTCCAGAGCCTTGCATTACACACCATTACTTACATGTACATGCTATATGATCAACTTTTCTGATCCATTCCACACCTTTTCTTTCACAATGCAATCGCATTACCAGAACTCAAGTTTATCTTTAATTAGATCCATGACAATCCCCTGAATACCTGTAGAGATCAATCTTGCAATGTAAACAAGTAAATAGTCTTGAACCCTCTGATAAATATACATGTCCCTATGATCAATACAATGAGTGATTCAAAGTTGGGTGTGAGTGTTATTGTTAGTCTTTAGACAGTCAAGAGCTCTTAAATCGAGCTAAACATTTGCTGATGAAATTAAGAGCCCGATACCGATATCCATATAGATAGCTTAACACACTAACAGTTTCAAAGCTTTATAGCTTTCCTATTTTTGATGGGATATTGCTCAAGCTTACACTGACTTGTTTCTCTTGTTTTTCTGCTTTTGTTGGTTCCAGCTAATTATCGGGGTGCACCTCCCCTTTAAAGAAAAAGTCTTTTTGTTTCGCTTTCTGTTTTCCCGGAAGAAGAAAAATTTGGGTCATCAAATATTGTTATAACATTTTTATTTAAAGTTTAAGAGATATGCAGGAAAGAGGCTGTGGGCACTTAATTTTTATTTTGCAAATGTATATATTGTTGTTATGGGGTCAAACTAATAAATATGGATGCTGAGTTTTCAAATATGAGTTGAGTCAGTTGATTGTCTGGAGGTGACTTTGCTTCAACTTTTTATTTTTCATGCAATCTCCAAGAAAGTGATTTTGTTTTTCAAAAATAGGTTTGACATAATATTACAACAGTTAGTTGATTGTCTGGAAGTGACTTTATTATCCATTCAATGTACAAGAAAGTTATTTTGTTTTCCACAATTAGGTTTAAAATATTGCAATAGAGGTGATCTATCCTCCATTACCCTCAAGAGGAATACAAGGCAATCTCCAATCTCTTAATCGCAGACAATATTCTAGATGTCTTCTATCTTTATATGTCAAGTACCTTGAGATTACTGTTCCAGACAAAGCAATGTACATCCCCCTTTCCCCCTCCTACAAAGAGAATATAACAAATTATGGGAGATTGAAAGGGGCGGGCAAGACTTAGTAGCTCCTAGAAATTTGGCAATGTTTCATAAGACATTATTTATATATATATATATATATGTATATATATATTGGGTAAGGCAGACTAATGGAACATGGTTGCAACTCCGAGTTTCACGCCTTGCGAGCGATCATCAGGCAACTCAGGACTTATCCAATATATATTTTGCTCTGCCCATAAGCATTGAGCACTGTACGGAGGAATAGACCAAATCTAAGTATATATATATATCTATATATATATATATATATATATATATATTCATATGCATGAAAATTAAAGAAACAACCTCACAGTCCAGAACATTGATTAATTGCTTTTCCATGTCTACAATATTGTATCAGAGAAAACCATTCCACTTGTGATTTAATAAGTCAATGACACTTCAATGAATAATTACTCTTTATTTCTGAAACTCAATTTGTGAATTTGTCTACTTGTATTATAATAAGTATGTTTAAATGACCATGTC